TCCCATGGTAGGAAATATTCAATTATGTTGACTTTTAAACCTCAACAAATAAGAAGAATAAGTTCGATGTTAAATTATTTTAATTAAAATATATATGCACAGCAACATAATAATACTACACTATCATAGACTACGTTCAGCATGACTGGAAGAGACCCTTCTTCTTCATTTCTTCGAACTCCTTGTCAGCATCATACGTCCTACGAACAAACATTTATTTTCAACGTGTGAATATTACAATGTGTATGATATAATTTGTTAATTTATTTGACGACTAGAGATTGACTGTACAATTATATTACTCTATCAAAAGCTTTGTATTTTTTTTGTGAAAGCGATTCAACTGTCCCTATAATGACTTCTAAGCTAACTAATATTATATATATGAAAGTGAGTTTGATTGTTACTCAATCATGCTAAAACTACTGAATGGATTTTGATAAAAATGAGTATGCATATAGATTATGACTTGAACATAGGATACATTTTATCCTAGAAAAATGTAAGGTTCCTGTGGGATTCCTGTGGAAATAACTAAAGTTAAAACAAACTCAATTCGAGACGGCCACTAGTAAAAATAATAAACACAAATAATTAATATTTAGAAAGCTCTCTAACATTGTTTAGAGAATCCTTTATCTAAGCATTTCATAAAACCTGAAGTATCAATAATCTTCAGTAAGTTAGTATTGTTTACCTGTAGAATTCAGCATAGCGCTGCTTGCGGGCATCTCCAACCAATACTTTAAAAGCAAATCCAGAGATAATAGACAAGGTGATGGCAACAGTTAGATTCTTCTTGATGACGGAATTGAGGAGACCTCGCATCTGGGGCTTCGCAATGGTCGACACGGCCTTCTCTCCTGCCATCTGTTGTAACAACAAAGCTTTTACTGATGAGCCAATGATGAGCTAAAGAAACACTTTACTGATGTGGTCTTTGGATATAGTTACAAGTAATATTCCTTAGCCTAATGGTTATTAAAAAATTAATTGCAAACAACAATGTGACCAGAATGACAGTAATTTGTCAATTATATGCATAGAAAGTGAAATCCCTCAAAAAATATACAACTTTCCATATCTCTGAAATTAGAATCTTGTAATGCAATATTAGTCAATATTATTTTAATCAGTGTGAGAAATTATTTGTTAGTTCACAGACTTTATGCTGGATCCAGATTCTAGGTAAATACCTTTATTCTATAAAATTAGTTTTCTGAATTCTCTATAAAATGTATAGGTTTTTGCCAATATTTTTTTAATACAAAGATAATTAATATTACTTAATCATTATCATTCTCAGGTAGGTATGCTAAATGAAAATCAGAACCTCAGGTAGATATGCTAAATTACAAGTCAGAATCTCCTAGGTTATTGCTATTTCTTCAAAAAACTTGACAACAACTCGAAAATGGTTTTATGTAGAGCTATAATATTATCTTTGGAGTTCTTTCGTCAATGCTAAATATTATATTTCCACATTAACTGAGTCTTTATCTTACACATGATCTGACAATGAAGTCCTTCTTACATAACTACGAAAATAGTAAATAATCGAACATCTCAAATTTTATTCGTTGAATAGATCAAGGAACACAATTTTATTAAATTAAATATAATAATTATCACAAAATACTTACTTTTTAATTTAAATTAAATAGAAATTTGGTTTTAAGATCGATAAGTGCAAGTGGTGCTACCACAGACTAAGAGAGCTTCAAAAGTGACATTTCTACTGTCAAACAAACTTCACCAAAAAGAATGCTCTCAGCCTTAGACACAGAGTACATTATAGCTTCGAGCATGGGTGCTCAAACTTGAACTGCTGGCGATCTACCTCAACATTTTTACAATTTTTAGACTACTTACGATCGACTCTGAGAGGCTGCAAGTATGTGTGATGCAGGGTTGTCGTACATACACGATACACCCCACCCACCTACCTACCTAGGTCGGGTGTACCGTAGCTTAAATAGATATTTGAACCTTTATAGATAGTCGATCGCGATTGACCGTTTTAGCACCCCTAGCTTAGAGCATATACCAATGGTGATGCCATACCGTTCCCCCATTTTTAGTGGGGGACGAGGTACACACGTATAGCACACTAACGAAAATATGCAATAGTCCCACAAACACGAGCGTGTTGTTGCTATAAACGCACACTTCAAAAATTACGTCACCCAAACAAAAAATCGCAAATACGCTAAAAAATATTATGTAACAGTAACTATGCAATTGTTCGAGCGTGCACGAATACACAAGGTCAGGGGTATATTCCGAAATATAAACCAGTACGCTCGCTGGCCAGCGGTAATGACGTCATGATTTCGACGCCACATTGCACTGGTGTAGAGGTAGTGTTGTCAATATGGCGTCGAAATCATGACGTTACCACTGGCCAGCGTACTGGTGTTTGATTCGGAATTCGGAAATTCGAAATTCGGTCAACACTAACTTTTATTTTAAGATCATCATTATACGCTTTACATTATGCTAAAAATTAAGCTTATTCAACTTAAAATTGAATTCGGTTCGGTCCCTACGAATTTTTCAACGACATAAATGGAATTTATCTGCACACATGAAAAGAAATTGGTTACGCACTGCGTGATTTAAGACGAATTTCATTTTGCGAATACTCAGATTATGGTTTTAACTCCCTTCTGTGAAATTCCTAAAAGACTACAACTAAGGCCCCTGTACGAATTTTGACAGTTCCGTAATAGTATTGCATCGTTAAGGTTTCTATGAAAACTAAGCAACGCCCTTGCCGGACGTAAGAACCAACTGGCTTCTTCATTAAAAATTTGACGATGATGATACGATTACGAAGCTGTCAAAATTCGCTCTTGGGCTTCTATACTAAAACCTCTACTGAACAATGAGTTCTAAGAGAAAGCTATTTTTTTTCAATACATTTGCTCAAAAAACGCATTTACGAAGGTTTTATACTTTGGTCGAAAGTTTAAAATTACGGGCCATACAACGAAGCGTGTGGTAAAACATTTTACCGCACGGCTGATTACCAGAGATGGGACATTTTAATTATGATTTTTCGATAAATAATTTCATTTTTCGGGTTATTCTGAAACACCGTATTTATTAAAACTAGACTTGCAACGAATACTCGATTACTATTCGGTATTCGACCTATTCGGTTGCTTTTATTATATTCGGCCGAATACGGAATATCTACATATTATTCGGCCGAATACTTAAATAGTATATTTTGTCATAGAGAAATAATTGATGAAATGCAAAATTAAAATCGATTGATCACGTATATATTTCATATTTTCATTTCTGTTATATAATCATATAAGTAGTCATTGGTACATAACACAGGTACGTACATAATCATCTTCTGAATTGGAAAAATGTATTGGAATTATTGTGGTAATCAAAATATAGAAGGGTAAGGTTCTCATTTCTTTTATAATCATTTATTAAGTAGTCATTGGTACATAAAACAGATACATAATTTAATCATTTTCTGTATTAAACAAGTTAACAGTTTTTAATTCATTCAGTCATGTGATGAATGGTTACTTAATAGCAATAATTTAAAGTTTACGCGCCGTTTTTGGTCATATCTCAAAAGTTGGTTTTATCATTTAGCCGAATTTTAGCTTGAGGACGGCAGATTAGAACAAAACAAAGGAGCGCGAAACAATCACGTCTGTACAAGTTTTTGGCGCTAAAATCCAGCCGAATACGTTTGCCTAATATTCGGCTATTCGGTCAGCGGCCTCGTCAAATATTCGGTATTCGGTATACTGCCGAATATACTATTCGTTGCAAGTCTAATTAAAACCCTTCACTTTAATACCCCGCTCGGAATGTTATAAGCATTTTTTTTAAATGTGTTTCATTTTGTCCCCCCCCATCCTGTTTCAAATAAACCCGCAGAATGGATGGACTCTCGCAGATTAACTGGCCCCACTTTTTGTTCCACCTATAGAATGTCTCCCTCTCTGTCTGTTTCTCTACCTCCATTCTAGTTACCCTGTGGATAAATCTTTTGATTTTAATGAACTTCAGACTACTCGCGATTCACTATAGTAAATATGAGTAGGGTGGCGTCACGTTTCATAATTGTTTCTGCCTTTACCATTTAGGCACTTTGCAGACGACGGGGCGGGGCGGGCCGGTCAATTTCGCCGCGAATAATAGCACAAAGTGAATCCTATACAACGGACAAAATGCCCGCCCCGCCCCTTCGTCTGCTCAACGCCTTACAATACAGGTCGCGGTACCCAACTCTAGCGCTGAACAAAACGGGGAGGGGATAGCTGCGTATGGGTACGACTGGAGAGACAATCGGCGCAACGCACGCCCACGTTTCATCTTATTTTTACTTCTGCGCAATAACGATCAGCGCTAGTTTTGTGCCGCGACTTATATCTTAGTAATTAAAAATCAAATAAAAGTGATTGACGTTACTAATAGAAGTAAAACAACGAAATATTTTTTATTCATTTATTAATAAACTAACTTTACAAATTTAATAATAGCAGAACAATAATATTCCTTATTTCTTTTCATTCATAATAATATGATAATAATTCACCGTGACTCATCGTACTTTATGAATATAATTATATGATTTTAAAAATAATCTAGAACGACAGTGAAAGCAACTTACAGAAAATAATGCACAATAAAAAAGGGTAGACGAAACATCATAAAATTGCCAGCAACAAAAAAATGTACAGGCTGAATTATATGATTGTCCTATTCAAATCCGGGGGTCGCGAGGACCCCACTAACAACACCAACTAGAAAAAATATTACAATAACATAAAGTTAAATTTTATTGTATCAATTCTTTTTATTTACCATTTCTGCGACCTATTTACAAGTTTAGTTATAATAATGTTTACATACCAAAACTATATGCTCGTCTCATGTGTGGTGTAACCCCTATACGCTATATTTATAGTGTTTAAAAACTATTTTGTATTTTCTCTTTATTCATACAATATATAAGTGTATATTATATATATATATATATATAATATATAGATATTTTTATCGGCATAAATTACTATCATTAGTTTCAAAATAAAAACAAAACAAAGGGAAAACTAAAATGATACTATACACCCAATATACAGAGCTAGCTTCGAGAGTTCATTCACTATATTTATATGATACAAGCTTGCAAGTCATACTTATATATTTTACAGTATAAGGCTTTTGCATTCCTAAAGAACCGGGGGGGCCGGCCTCTAACTGGCGCCATCTTATATACAACAACGTCAACTCCCAAACAATGCCGTAAAAGAAACAAAAATACTTAACTCATAACACATTATATTAATTTCCCCATCTATACATAGAAATTTACAAGAGATTGTGTCATCGGCCGGACCGATTTCTTTCCTATTTATTTTTTTTACTAACTAATAATTTAAAAGGAAAAACGAAACGAAGAGAAAGTCAAAAAAAAAAGGAATAACTCTTTCCTAATTCCGCTGATCTCGACCCGATATATATAACCTAAGAGTGCAGCTCGCGTCTGCCGCACGTTTTATAGGGCACAATTTTATCAGGCAACGTATCTCCTACTAATTATATTGATCGATACACTATTCACACTACGCACGTACTAACAGATTTACTTTTAATTTTGAATTTTAGCACTATCACCGTCCGACCTTTTAAAAACCATATGCGCTTCGTGGGAGATGTGTATAGATAGTGTAAGATACTTTATAAAAGGTACAAAATACTGAACTAGCGTGGGACCAACATTCAAAACAGCCGGTAGCTCGAAAAAAGCTCTCCAAACCTATCTTTTGTTTAAAAGCTAAGCGTCACATCCACAAATTATTGCTCTGAGACTTACATATACCTAAGCTTAGGAACCGCAAACTAAACATATATTCGTGTCCGATAACGCATTAAATTTTTTATATATTTTTATAGAGAAAAAAAATCATCATCGATTTCGACTTTAACTAATACGTTCAAGAGAGTATATTACGACGGACACGACCACGACGCGATGCGTGCGAAGTCAGAACTAACGTTTAGTCAGGCAGGCGCACTAAGTGACTGCGTAAAAATGTGATTAATAAATACTAACATCTAATTAGGAGAACTAATTCCATCATCTATGTACAGTGCAAAAGAAAACTTGCTAGCTTAAAGAATAAATTTAAAAAAAAAAAACCTTCACTGGTGGAAAACGACTAATTTGGTAATTAAAAAAAATAATGGTTGCATCTGACCCGTGGTCGAATCGTGGGCGAAACGAAACGCAATTCGGGGTTGGGGGGGCGCGGGGCATCAAAATAACACTTTTAGTTTACTGGAAGCCCGAACAGACAACTGTTGAAACATTCAGTCACGATTATTATCTCTTCACTAAGAAATTATCAATCGAGTCACTAAATTACAATTATTGGTCGTGAAATTCTCTTACGCTAAATTTAATCGTAATAGCAGCCAGCGTCGCGGCGGTGGTGCGGCGCCATATTTATAAACCTTATTCAAGAGAACAATATTGATCACATCTAAAATTGAGAGTTAAAAATAACTTGTGTAAAATTCGAAATGACGTGTACAAGGTGCTACAACTATTTACTCACTAAATAAAACGCATACTTTTTTCTTTTCAAAACTTTCAAAATGGCGTTCCACCGCCGTGACGTTTTACTTTTTAAACTACGAACGCGGCGCCGCGCCAACGCGGGCGATCCGTTTCAAGTGCAAAAAGGTATGAAAATATCTTTTTTTTTTTAATTAACTTTATGCATCTATTTCATATTTTATATCTCTCGGGTTTATTTTTACTATTATCATAAACGACGTGCCTAAAGTCGAGTGCTCCTCTGTACAATAATGATACAATTCTATCCACTAATAAAAGAACTAAAGCTCCCGCCATTCTGTGGCAAACGACACACTGTGAAGTCTTAAAATTACACCAAGAAACTTATGTTATAATAGAAAAATCGACGCAATAATAGTGAATGGTAACATGATTTGTTTCACTAAATAAGTCATAAAAATATTTTAAAAAAATAACGGCATTCATTCCATCCGTTTGTCGCTAAGTTAGGATGCTTTATGTATGCTTACAATGTAACGCAAAGATTGCTTGCGATGCTTTTGATGTCATCAAAACACATTAGTACGACATTCGTTATAACATAGACAATAAAAAAAAAAGAAAATTTTAAGAGATTTTAAAGTCGGTTTACATTCATGCGTGCGCGCACATTCGGGTTATTCCCATCCAATTTCCAATGTAAATACGATTCCATAGAGTTTAGCATTTATATGATCTTTGTCGAATTCGAAACGAGTAATCGCGACAAAGCAATCCAATCGCACATCGAAAATATTTCGACTTTTCTCGATGGCAATAACCTAAAACCATTTCTTATTCACACTATTTTCGTAGCACAAGTCTTACAGCAGTAAAAATATAAGTGTTGGACACCGTCATGCTCGTGAATGCCTTAACGGTACTACAAGAAACAGACTACCAAAGAAATGGCGTGTAAATGTAACCCGACCCTTACAGGTGTAAGATTCATACTAATGAGTTTTTTATACAAATAACATTATTTTTTTTTTCATATCAATTTAGTCAAAAATACAAAATTAGTTGCACACATTTAGTTATGTAAATAAAATACAAGTTCTTGATTAGAGGAAAAAATGTTGGACACTTTTGATACATAATTATTGCACTTTTTCACACCACAATCCAAAAGGTTTGAGATTCACACTCAAAAAAAAACATTTTATCTGCGTCTTAGTATTAGCGAAAACATATCCAAACGCATCATGATTGAATAAAGAAAATGTATATACATACATGATACTCAACTTTTTACAATAAAATATATAAGCAATTGAATATTCCAATACGAAAACCACTGTAGAAATAATAGAAATGATAATATTTTCATAGTCATGATTAGCTAAGAGATATTGTTTAAAGAGTGTCTTTCAAAATAAAACATTCGAAAAAGTATAATAGAAAAAAAAAGATTTCATTATGAAAAAATAAACTAAATGTGTGGTACCTTTTTCTGTGTTCAGAGTTGTACCCAAAGAAATTAAAATAAACATCTACTTGTTGTGTTCCAAATCAAAAGCATGACACAAATAACTGTACAAATTGTCAACTAAACAGTAATGTGGTGTCCCAACTCGAATACATGCCATCAGTTTTATGCCTAATTATAAAATTATGCTAGGTCATTCGCGTGAAATTAATAATAATAAATCTTCAAACTCTTGTCGTAGTGTAGAAACATTATTTTGCCACATAAACAGTTCACACATATCAATGCTAGTGTTGCCAGAATACATTTTGAATGTTCCTGGTAAAAAACAACTTCAAATGGTGCGAGAACACAAAGCATTTGTTACCGAGTCATATTATTTGAAAACCATCAAGTTTAACAACAGGCAGCAGCCCGGTTCTCAATATAGAATTAGAATTTAAAACTATCTTTTGAAATGCCTTTTTGTCTCAAGCTGTTTTTAGTTTAGAAACAAATATATTTGAAGTTGACATGTAAAGTGTGACAAACTAGCAATATTACGTAGGTAATGTCATCATTAAAACAAATTGGGACTTGCAATGTTAATTTACGCTTCAAAAATAGCAAATTCATCCTTACAATCTACCATAGTAAACCACGCGTGGAGTAAACCAAACCAACCAATAATAAAATAAACACTATTCAGACAGACTGGCAACACTAGACACTTAGGCACTAATCAACAATAACAGGGGGGTGCGGCACCGGCGCGTACTCAACGCGGTGCCAACGGGAACGGGGCCAGCAGGAACGGGGCTAACGGGAACGGGCCTGTGGGAATTGGCCCGAAAATGTCCGTGTGGCCTGCGGGAAAGGGGTCAACAATGTCCTCGGGGCTATTGGGACCGGGAACGGGTCAGTCTAGCAACAGGAGCGGCGGGGCGACGGGCTCCGCCGGCCGCCGCCGTCACTTGCCGTCGCGCGACGCTCGCCGTCGTCTCACGGCCGGCGCTGGCGTGCCTTCACCCACTGACAGGAGAAAATACTGCATAAATATCATTATCGCAACCAATGGAGAAGTATACGCAAAAGCTCGACATAGATGGCGCTGCAAACGCTTGATCCAAACAACACCCGAATATTGCAGCTGTCAAATTTTGAACATGTTTTTTTATTGTTAAATATATTAAATAAGTGGTGAAAATGTATTCAACATGGTCTGCAATATAGCTGAAAACAGAGTTGAAAAGAAGAGGAGCATCTATGCAAGGCAGAAAAGCTGCTCTAGTAGAAAGGTACTCTTTCTATTATCATGCTAGAATGCTCATTCTCGGTACATAGATGCATTTTCCATGATTATTTTAATTATTCATGGATCTCAGTAACTTTTAGCGGGCTCATTAGTCAAACCTATCTTATTTTTGCATCAGACAGACATCTCATAGAGTTAGGTTACCTCAGGCTAAAATGGGAAGGATAAAATTGGGTTTTTTACGGTCTTCAGGTATGCCTGAAGACTGTAAAAACCGCAATTTTAATTTTGGTTCATTTTTTCTGATCAAATTGAAAACATCCAGATGCAATTACTTGCCCCAGATACATACCATGATGTAAACAGCAGCTCAGTTTTACCGCCCTTTCAAAGAAACATATAAAACTATATTTTAGTCGGTAGGCATGCAGTTTTCTTACAACCACCAAGAACTGCACAATGCGGCATTTGTAATTTGTTTAATAAAAAGCTTAAAAATGAATATAAGCTAATAGGTATGTATTTGATAGAAGTTTTGGGTCAAGCGATTACAGGGCCCCTAGTGAACAAATTTTGTAGATTTCTTGTCCATTACACCATACAGCCTAGCCCCAAATTATAGCTTTGGAAAAGCTTTTTTTAACAATTTTATTAAATATGACTTCCTAACAATCCTAAATATTTTCTTAAGGAATAATTTTGTAAAGTTATTGAATATATACTACACAATCAAAAATATTTGCTTCCTCTTGAAAATCTAAGAAACCTTGAAATAAGTATAAAGTTTTAGTTTCGCGGCAGTGTTAAAATTATGAATATCTACAAAAACTGTCGTCCGACTGTGAAGCTTAAGATGTAAAATTCTAAACACAATAAGAAAACCTCATAAAAAACGATAACCTACTTTCATCCAACTAGTTCACATTCAATAACTTTACTTTGATTTCAAAGTGTTAAAATGTTCAACTTACCGGCACTCCTAGTTTTCCGCCTGACCGGCGTGGTATTAGGGGGCGCCGGGGCCGCGGGGGCCGGCTGCGCGGGCGGGCCGTGCCTCACCGACCTCCTGGTCCCCACTCCATCCCCGCCCTTCCCCCTCCCCACCCCGACCCCCGCCCCCGGCCCTATAACGTTCACAGGAGGCGTCGGCTTCACCCCTTTCACAGTCTTCCCGCGAACTTTGCATATTAGCGGCTCGTCGCTATCGCTATCGGAATCCTTTTTCGCCTTCCCCCCCGCGGGCAGGGGTAGTTTCTGCCCTTCGATCTTTCTCGGCTTCTTCTTCGGCCGCCCCGCCGGCGACAGCCCTTCTTCGCAACTGACCGTCGACGCGCAGGAGCTTTCGGACTCGCGTCGTTTCCGTTTCGCGGGTAAAGGTTTCGCCGGCAGCGGTTTGGGACTCTGTTTGTCCACCGAGCCGGCGCGAAGGCAATTGCGGTGTAAGGCCGGCGAGTCTGCCCGCAAGCCGGGGCTGAGCCGAGGCGTTCTGGGCCCGTCGGCCGGACTGCTCAGCTTACTGCTCGACCGCGTTCTCACGCTGCTGCGAGCCACTCGCTCCAAGGCGGAAGGCGAAGGAGACTCCGTCCGTTTGGCTGCGTACTCCGCTGGCGGAATCTCTATAAGCAGCTGTTCCAAAAAACTCTTAGCAGGAAAGTCCGCCTTCAGAGGCAACCGCTCTATTTTCTCAGGCTTCTCGTCTTGTGAGACCTCCTCTTTCACGTCCCCGTTTTCCGCCGGCCTTTTCTCGTCCTCGGGTTCGGCCGCGGTGAGTTTCTCCTGATTCGAGTACGTATACAGCGGCGGCGACATTCTGCTCGGTAAAGGATCAAAGTCCTCCTTCTCTTTCTTAGGGGACGTCGCTTGAGCCGGTTCAGGAGGGGCGGTTTCCGGCGGCGTCTCCTGCGTTTTGTCCTCGTCTCTTAATATTGGCGTCGGTTCCCGCTTCACGTCTTTGGTGAGGTCTTCTGGGCGGCGAGGAGCGTCGTCGCCGTTGACATGATCGGCGTGCATCTTGGCTAGTTCCGCCTCGATGTCTCCGAGGTCGTCGATGTCGGGCGGGCCGGGTTCATACCTCGGTGTGCCCGCAAGCTGTAACCTTTCTAGCAACTCGTCTGACGCAGGCGGGGCGTCAATCACGCCTATGATTCTCTGCACGGACGTCGGACTTGTAGATCTGGGCATATCTAGCCGTTCTTTACGTTGGTCCGGCGGCGATTGGCTCGCTTGGTTCGGCGATTTCTCTGAGAGAGCGTCCATGGACTCTATGCCGGAGTCTTCGCCTTGCGCTTGGGAGGGAGATCGGCTGCCGAACTTGTCGTCGGGTCGATCGGGTCTGTCGGGTCTACGTTCGGCCACTAACTTGCAGTAGGACTTGTCCTTGGGTCGTTCTTTGCGTCGCGGGGATCCCCCTCCTGCTCGCTGCGCGGGCGGGGACTCCCCTCGGGGCGCTGGCACTATCGTACCAACATTCGTAGATCCGGGTGGTTCTGTAATAATTAAGATTTTATTAGTTTCCAAGTTTTTCCTAATAATAGGCTTCTAGACTAGAGGGCAGCTAGTATATTGTACAACTTTTAGATTAATGCAAACTGCATCCTGAAAAATAGTTTTGTATTAATCTAGAACTTCTACCATCTAGTATATACCGTTATATTGTTGTCGCATGTCGCACTATATTAGAATCTCTTATATACATACAAGTGAACTTGCCATTTAGATATATATGACTGGAAACCATGCTTCCTGTCCATGCCACGATAATTTAGGGTTATTACATAATAATAAATATTTACCACACTCACACCAATTAGCCTAGGCCCAAAATAAGCACTGTAAGGCTTGTGTTATAGGACGCAAGGGTAACGGATAGAATACATATACTGATACATATATAAGTATTTTTTTATCTTGAAATATATATAAACATCCATGATTAAGGTACAAATGCTCGTAGTCATCATACTAACATTTGCCCCCACCGAGATTTGAACCTCCTAGTAGGCGACGCCATGTTTACAAGCCATTTTAATTATATTTTATTAAGTTTGCATTCCGAGTCGATGCACTCTAAACTGCTGACACAGTTGACCCACTAATTGGTTTAAGAACAATATTTTACATTAAATGACAGTGCAATAAAGGCATTCACATCAATTTGACGTATTTTAATAATTATCTCCTGACAAATCGTCTCGTGACTAATTGACATATTGACAGTCGTTAGGGTCCTAGTAACGGCCCCTACAGTTTGGTCCTTGGAGCGAACTTTTCTAGATTTTCATTTTCGCGAAAATACATGTACGTGGTTTAGGACAGTATTACCAGTGACAGGATTGATAGTGCATTGCGATTATATTAAGTGACATATTATATTAGTGACCAAACTTATTACTGGATCTTCGGCTGGATTATTCCAGTCGAAGAAATCAGTGTCTTCGATCATACTTTATGAAGCATATATAAAATCTTCGATCATACTTTGTAACAAAAAGTTTCATCAGCTTCATTTTGATGCTTGGCTATCTACAATATCGTGAGATTCTCTTAAGATTTTCTACCATGTACAACGCCAAACTGAGTAATCTATTGCCGCCAGTGGTGTTTCTGGACGGACGAGACCCAAAGATCTTTCGGGACGTTCTTATTTCATAAAACAGAGCGTTTGTAACGCTCAATGTCCACAGGCAACTGTAGTGGCGTAGCGTGGACTCAAGGGCGGATCCAGCTTTGGCGCCAGGGGGGGTCATATAGCCAGCTTTGGCGCCAGGGGGGGGGGGGGGTCATATAGTCGTGCTATATTAAATATTGAAAGTACTTAAATAAAATCGCCCTGGGTTTGGTCCATCTGTACCCAGCCCAGGGGGGCTGCAAAAAAAACTTCCTCACGCTAAGCAGCCTTGACAAGAAATACTCTAGCAGTCATTTTAGGCTTAATTTAAACAAAAATCTCAAAGCGAAAATGAAAAGGTAACACTTTTCATTTCGTCTAATTGAGGTTAAAATTTCGAACAATTATCTGTCAAATTCAACTTTTCGTTCGTAAGTTTTGTGAATTAGAGTAGGCTTGGAGAATTTAATTGTAAAACTATTATCGGACGAACGAATTTTCGAAATTAAAAAGAAACAAGAGTAAGGAACGTGCGACGATCGGAATTTCGTTTGAAATAGAGTAGGCCTCCAGACCACCAATTTCTTCGGTTGGCACTTCACTACATACAACTTTCTACAAGTCGCTTTCTCTGTCCCTATGTCCCTTTGTATGCTTAAATCTTTGAAACTACGCAACGGATTTTGATGCGGTTTTTAATAGATAGAGTGATTCAAGAGGAAGGTTTATATGTATAATACATGCATAATATAGTAGAGAAACACTGATAATTTTAGAGGTTTTTAATGTAAGGTCGTAAATAAACACATTTTTTGCGCTTACATTGCAAACGCTGGCTGAACCCCACGAGATAGATCAAAATAATGTACTACAGTATTGTACACCTTAAAAAGGTCTACAAAAAAGTCCGCGATGGTATATGTCTATCTCTTAAGGATAACCCACAATAACCAATTTTTATCCTATACTTTTTACGAGAAATAATAGATTATTTACGAAGCGTTTTTAAGCAATATAACATTCATCCTTATCCAATTAAGTACCTTAAATACATTGTGCATTTAATATAGAACAATTTGGCCCTTTAACGCATATAATTTAAATGAATATTTTCGAAGATATTACAAATTTAAAATTCAGGGACATAGCGGTTCTGACGCTACCGGGCTTGGCGGCGCGTGCCTATTGTAATTGGGTATTAGAAGAATGTAATTGTGTATAATACAAGCCTGAGAACAAAAACTATAGTCTACACTACAGCTTTACACCGAAGCGAAGCGAGGGCGGGCCACTAGTTTTGTATATATCCCAAAGCTTTTTTCATCAAACAAGCTCACACAAAGATATTCAGTCAATACAAGATTGCCTTCCTATACTTACTGTCATTTAAATATTACTGCTTTACCTGCCTGCTGATTCTTAGAATATCACAGCCAATACATTTCGATAAAATTATGTAAACTGCATTCGTATTCTGAATTCCTTAACTAAAAGGTGACTAAGAAACCCCAATAATTAGCCTCTGCTGTCCGTCTGTCTTTATATATATACAATTTCCTATGATGAATTCTCATCCTGATGAAATAAGAATGTTGGCGGATTGTGCCTGAGTATGAATAAGGTGTTATGTGTAGATATAAAATCTACAACCTTCGTGGCCGAGTGGTTTCATGGTGTCGCCGACTCCAGTCCCGGTGGGGCCAGATGCATTTGTACTCCAGTCATGGATGTTTTTCTATATAAATATACTTATATATGTACAGTATATGTATTCTATCCGTTACCCTAGCATCCCATAACACAAGCCTTATAGTGCTTACTTTGGGGCTAGGCTAATTGGTGTGAGTGTTGGAAATATTTATTTATTTTTTTATTTATTAAAATAGAATCAACAATATTGAAAGTAGACAAAATTAGTTACAAATATGGTCTGCCTGTTGGTAAATAGCAATATGACCTCTAGACACATGGGAAACCAGATGTACAAGATATCCAGCCCGGGTTTACCCGGTCCGGAAAAACCCGAGTGTTGTTAATACGTTTCTTTATATTATTTATTAAGTTTAAGAGGCTTCGAATGCAATAATAAATTGAATAAAAACACGCCTTGATATTTTTTTACGTTAAAGTTTACTTGCTTTGTTCTCCTACCGAAAATAAAAGCAATGCATGTTAAATGGGTCCCGCGCGCCCATTTCAGGGGTTGAAATGTGGAGCTTTAGTACTATAGCACTATATACCTCATCGATACGCTGCGGCAGGTCATACAGAAGACCGAAGAGTATAATATCTGCCACTAGCAACTATATTAAATACCCTAGATACACCACGTGCGCTTAAAATGTGTCCCAATCAAGAAGTGCTTGAACTCCATTCAAACACTTATTGGTTCACAGTCACGCGCGAACCGTGAAGTCAAGATGCCGCAAAGATATGTGAAAAAATGCGAAAAAGATACTTATAGTACGTAAAGTGTCATTTTTTCGACAGGTACCTGATCAATGTTTGTTAATTTAACGCATTGATGAAAATTTTGTTCTGATACTTACTTTAAACTGATTTGATGGAAAATATTTGTGATATTCAAATGTATGGTCGGTTATATAGCCATCTCTCTCGCCTCGCGGTCCGTACCTGCTATAATGCTAGCAGCGCATTCAGAATTGCGCTTAGAGTCAAAGAAATAAGGTCTTTATTCTTCTTTGTAGTACAAGTAAGACCTTATACAGAATGCATTAAAGGTGACATTAAACGCGATCATCGTACGGAGTTCCGTGGATCGTCCAATGTACTTTTAGGACAGGTTTCGGCCACGATTTTGTTCGCGTTGGTGTATCTAGGGTTTTAGTAGGGGAGACCGTATAAGATCGACCTTCACCGATCTGATAACTCGATGAGACATATTTTTACCCGACTGCCAAAGAGGGAGGGTAATGTTGAGGGAGTGTATGTAAGTATGTATGTATGTCTGTTCCTTTGTGACCTCCTGTAGCCTAAACGGCTTGATGGATTTTGATGTATGAGGTATCGTTAGATTTGTCTTGATTACGGGAGTGTCATAGGATACATTTTATCCTAAAAGTCCCACGGGATAAAGACATAATAATATTTTTTCTAAATTTCCCTTTAAAAAAATATGTATGCGGTATCATTAGATTCATTTCAATCACGGGAGTAATAATTAATATAGGATACGTTTTTTCTCAAAATTCTCACGGAAACATGTTAATTCTGCGTCAACGCAAAGCAACTCATGCGTTAGCAAGCAAAAAGATAGGGCGTGGCCTGGCATGCGGCGCGCGGCGCGGTGCGGAGGGGGATATGCTCGAGTATACAGCCCGAATGCGGGCACACGCATAAGGGCACACGTCGTTGACGGTCGTCTCTGAATAGCGATTTTTTCGATACTTCGTCGTCTGACGCGAAACTTATAAAGTATAAATAACTCGTTCTTTTTCTTTCGTGTTTCTCTCTTTAAATTTATTCGTTCTTTCTAATTAATTAACTCGTTCTTCCGTTTTTTTTTTTTGGTTCTTTCTTAAATTATTCATATTAATTAATAATATAATAATAATTATTAATAAAATAACTAGGTAGGTAGATATTTTTGGTTAGTTTAAGTAACATTCTTTTAAACAATCCTCACTTATTCTTTTTGTATTTTTTTTTTAGTTATAGTTCAACTGTTTTTTTTTTATTATTATTAAGTACTTCTCCATTAGTACTGATTTTTTCGGCAATAGGTATCAGACCATTTTAAGAAATAAAAACATACAATATGGGATTATCTCGCAAAACAAAAAGGGCTCAGGCTCGGGCTAAAAAATTAAAAGCCGAATCTCCTGAGGCACGCGAAAAACGCCTTATAGAAGCAAGAGT